TTTTTTCTATTTATATTATCTCTTTTCTTCTCTGTTTATTTTGATTATTTTTTCCTCTCGTCGGTGTTTCTTCTTCCTTTTTCCTCTATTTTTATTTCCTTTGCGAAAAGAGCACCGCGCTGCTGCAAAGCAACACACGCATATCAAACACACTCGGAGGAATTTTTAGTTCTCGAGGAACTTAATTCTCGATGATGGGCGATGATTTCGAAGAGTAAAGAAAGACGGATGTGCTCGAGGTGATTACACTTTATATTGTTGTTCCAAACTATTTCGGGAGATTTTGTTGAATCTAATTGATACACTAACATATAATTAACTAACTACGCGTGATAACAGTTCAAAAACTGACACAGTAGCATTCGAGTAGAGAATTGAGTTACTGAAATCGATACTTTTTGCTTTTGATGTTGCATTTAATAAATCACTTGAGAAAGTTCCAAGTTCCATGCATGAATTGTGTATCTCAAGTATTACAGTTCTACTTGATATCCCCTTTTGTATTTAATTATTGAAACAGTTGTACGATCTCACGTTCAGATTAACATTAATCGTTCGTAGTATAAATATATATATTTAACGAAGTAAAAATATTTTAGAAAAGTTCCCATTAACGTACATATCTTGCTTCGAGTTGAGTTATTCGCATGCATCTTGAAAAATTGAAATCGACGATTCTTGACACTTTCCTCTTTCCTCAATGAGTTTCGATTAATTAGATAGATTCTTCGTATATCAGTTTCAATATCAATTTCAATTACTACATCATAAAATATTGGATTTAAAATTATTTTGTATTAAAAAGATTCCACGTAAATTTTTTATCAACAATTCTGTAAAAATCATATGAATCAAAATCCACTCCTTCAATGCGTCACAAAGGTTTAATTGCAAGCGAAACAATTGTTCAAGAATCGTCGAATTGCAAAAGTCTATCGTCCATTATCTGGACGGGCTCTGCTTTCAAGTTACAAGTAGCGTAGAATAATATTCGATCCTAAAAGAATCGAGAACGATAACGATCGAATGATAATTAGGTGTGCGACTGGCGAGGCATGGCCGAACATAATGCTGTCCTGCGTGAAGGGTCGCCCTTGCGACGCGAAAGCCGGTAAACAGGAGGGTGGCTGTGGCTCGAACATAGCGTACGCCTATTTCGTCTCGTTCATTTTCTTCTGTTCGTTCCTGATGCTGAATCTGTTCGTCGCCGTCATCATGGACAATTTCGATTACCTTACGAGGGACTCGTCCATACTTGGCGCCCACCACCTGGACGAGTTCGTACGCATATGGGCCGAATACGACCCAAACGCGACCGGCAAGATCCATTACACGGAGATGTACGACATGCTGAAGAACATGGATCCGCCGTTGGGGTTTGGAAACAAATGTCCGAACAGGCTTGCCTACAAGAAGCTTATCAGGATGAACATGCCGGTGGACGTCGACTTGAAGGTGAACTTCACCACCACTTTGTTCGCCCTGATCCGCGAGAATCTCAATATAAAAGTGAGAAGAGGTGAGTTATATAGAAAGCGTTTCTTATTCTTTACGAATTAAACGAAATTTCATTTATGAATATGATATTTTTAAGAAAATGTATTTTTCATTATCTAAATTAAAATAAGTAAAATAATGTAACTTTTTAAAAATCTTTTGCATATGTAAATTCCAATCTCAATTTTAATAATTATTGGATAGTTTGACTAAACAAGTAATCGAAATCCATTTTATGGTTAAACGATGGAAATATATTCAGATATTTATCGATGATTTCCAGCCTCCGAGAGAAACCAAGCGAACGAGGAGTTAAGAGACACGATCAGAAGTATTTGGCCTCTGCAGGCGAAAAAGATGTTGGACCTTTTGATACCTAGGAACGAAGGTTGTGTAAAAATTGTGTGAAAATTTCAACCCGGCTCGATATACTCGTATGCTCACAAGCGTCTACTCATCTCATTCCAGAAATAGGCAGAGGTAAGATGACCGTTGGTAAGATATACGTCTGCCTTCTGATACTCGAAAGTTGGAGGACGACTAGGTTTGGTCAGATAGAATCAGCCGGACAGGTGAGTTTTTCGTTAATCACGGTTGAAAAGTTCAAAAAAAAAAAAAAAAATGAAAGACCCTAGCGATATTTTTCTATTCAAACAAAGGAACCTTCGTGCTGCACTCTTACCAGATTCGTTTCATAATTGATTGATGATCGATTGGAATATATATAATATATTAACGAAGAGAATCTCGTGAGAATGCATCCACGAGGATTGAGTTCGAATGGATGTTTGTCATTGGCTTCTTCGTGGTAGGATTTCACGTGGACGGTGTGAAAAATCACGTCTCGAATAGAGAATTTCCAATGATTCCATGTAGCTTCTTGATTACCCACGAAAGCTTAGTATCTCGATAATTTTGAAAATTTATTTTTCAATTTCGTATAATATTTTTCAATTATTTCGTATTATATTTTTCATATTATATAATGAGAAGAGAATGTTAAAAATTATATATATATATATATATATATATATATATATATTTGGGAGTGATTCTAAGCTTTCTTCCCCGTGTCCCCGATATTCTGACGCTATATTAATGTGTGCTCAGTAGTGGCGAGAATTTTCAAACATTCATATGTATTTGAACGAGTAAAGAAAAATTCAAGACTCTTTTCAAGCTGCATTCTTTATCCCCGTGTGTCATAATTAAATTTTGATTGAAAATTGATGAAAATTGATTGAAAATTTCACGAAAATTAGGAGTAAGAATATGGAATAAATTAAAA